GTGCAGTATCTGCTGGCTGGGTGCGGGCAGGCTTGCCCCTGGCACGGGCACCGTAGCCAGCCCGTGCTCCTTTAAGGGGTCTGGGGCTGGGAGGGGGGCAATAGAGTTTCCCAGAGTGGCCACCAGGGAAAGCTGGGGAGGGCTAGCCTCCCACTAGTTTGAATTAAGGGGCTACACACCCCTTAATTCGAACTAGTAAGTTCGAACTAGGCTTAGTCCTCGTGGAATGAGGTTTACCTAGTTCGAACTAAGCGCTCTGCTAGTTCGAACTAGCGGAGCGCTAGTGTAGCGCCTATCAAAGTTAATTCGAACTAATGTCCATTCGTTCGAATTAACTTTGTAGTGTAGACATACGCTCAGATTGTTGGAAAGAAATTTCTTCACGAGGCGTACAGATAGTTCGGAATGGCTTGCTAGTTCGAACTATCTAGCCCGTGCCACGTGTAGCCGCGCGGCACGGGGTTCGAACAAGCCGGCATTTAAAAATGGCGCCGGCCGGCTTATGCAAATGAAGCCCGGGAAATTCAAATCCCGGGCTTCATTTGTACGTTCGGTATGCATACATTACCCCGCTAGTTCAAACTAGCGGGGTAGTGTAGACATACCCTGGGTTCTCAGTTTGAAGACCGAGAAATCGACATGCTGAACTGGCAGAACTTGATATTGCTGTAGTGGTAATGCCCTGTAGCCTGCTGTGATGCTCAGCACAGATAGGGTGGGATTTCCAAAACTGGACTGTGCTGGCATAATTCTGCTGTCATTGAAATAACTAGTAAAACTCCCATTAACCTCAAAAGGATCAGGTTTTAGTCAGCACTGAGCACTTTTAAAAGCCCCCAACCATAGTACTGACATAGAATATAAGCAGTATATAGGCTACAGGCTAACTCTGCACAGAAATGAATGTCTCTAGAAGTAAGTGCAGAATACAGGAATTGAGGTAAATGCTGGGAAAAAAAGAAGTGAAAAGAATGTAAATGAAAATCACAGAGATAGACTGTACTATTTGGTGTGTTTTTTTCATTTCTATTATCAATTTTAAAATATGATCATGATCCTTTTACAGTTTCCAATGGGCCCAGGGTCAGATGGTCCTATGGGTGGATTGGGTGGAATGGAATCACATCACATGAATGGATCCTTAGGTAAGGATAACAATCTAGTAAATACTCTAGTAAAAAGCAATCTAGTGATTTTGAACTGTTTTTGTGGCTATACAATAATCACAGTTCTAAACTGTGTGGAAAATGTGTATATTAAAATCATTTGAAAATTAGAAATACTATATCAACATCAATCAGAAATTCAAAGATGCTTTTCTTATTCTTGTTTATCTGGTCTCATAAGGTATCTCTTATAAATATTGTATATTAACAGAATATAATTTTAAATCTGCTCTATAGTACACTATGTTAAACTAATGTGGAAGGTACAAAAGCTTTCTCCTCCCTATTTCCCGAATCCTTCACTAAAACACGGTGTAACCAGAAGATGTCTTTACCACAAAGTGGCGCAGGTGTTTACATATTTACATGTCATATAAGTAATATATGGAGACAATATACCACATCTATTGATATCTATGTATTAAAATATGAAATCAAATGATTAATTATATTGATTATGCAGTTTTAAATGTTTGACCCTCACGCTATCCATTCATCCATCCTCTCAAAGCATTACTTTTAATATCTCATCCTCATGAATAGCTTCAAACAGCTTCCCTTTTTCATCAGCCTGCCAGAGAAATGTTTGAAATGTTTTCTTTTTTCTCTTCAAATGGAGACTGTCCTGCAAAATTAAGATATTTTCATGTATAGAAAAGCTTTGTTACATAACTTGTACACGTTATTTAGTGTTTATTAGCTATCTTTTTCTCTTTATAATATCAAACTGGTCCACTGAATAAATTATAAAAGTTAACCAGTGAAGTGAAGATGAAGTGGAAACAATGTAAATTGCAGGGCATTACAGGCAGGGGACATGGAAAACCTGCAAAATTCCGAAACTGTTTGGTCATGGAGAAGTATGAGGAGCTACAGACCCCGAGTAGTTTATGATTTTGGAAAAATAGCAACATATGGAGAAGTTGGGAGTCTTGTAGAATTATTCAGTCTTGGCAGTGCTTCAACCCCGACCCTTCCTTGAAGAAGTTAGCATAGGTCAGGCCTCGATGTAGACCACAAACTGAAGATTGTGAGACAAGATTCATGGAACAAAGTGCATGAGAAGGCGAATGGAGAAGGCTGTGGTAATGTCACCTGGAAGTGAAATCCGGATTTGCATGGCATGTAAAGATATTTACGTGCCAGATGCACCAAGGATTCACATGTCCCTTCATGCTTCAGCCTCCATTCTAGAGGCTGATGATAACACATTCTGCTCAATAATGGTCCAAAATAGTGCAGAGCAGCACATGTTCATTTTCATCATCAGAATCAGATGCCACGAGCAGAAGTTTGATTTTCTTTTCTGGTGGTGCAGATCCTGTAGTTTCCTCATCAGAGTTTTGCTCTTTTAAGACTTCTGAAAGAATGTTCCACTACTCCTCTTGCTAAGATTTTGGAAGGCATATTACTTTCTAACCTTGGGTCGTATGCTGTAGCTAACTTTAGAAATCTCACACTGGCACCATCTTTGTGTTTTCTCAGAACTGTAGTATAAGTATTTTTAAAACAAATGTATTCTGGGTCATCACCTATAACTGCTATAATATGAAATATGTGGCAAACTGTGGAAAAAACAGAACAGGAGACCTACAATTCTTCCCAAGGGACTTCAGTCACAAGTTTAATTAACACTTTTTTAAATGAGCATCATCAGCATGGAAGCATGTCCTCTGCTATGGTGGCCAAAGCATGAAGGAATACTTTGCAATACTACAAAAGTGCCATGTGAATGCTTGTTCTTGCTTTCAGCTGACATTGTAAATAAGAAGCAGGCAGCATTATCTCCCATAAATGTAAAGAAATTTAATTACCTGAACAAGTAGTGGACTGAGTGAACTTGTAGGCTCTAAATGTAAATATAAAGTTTTACATTCTTTTGTTTTTGAGTGCAGCTATTTAACGAAAAGATCTACATTTGTAATTGGATTTTCATGATAAAGAGATTGTAGTAGAGTACTTATATGAGGTGAATTGAAAAACGCTATTTTTTGTTTATAATTTTACAGAGCAAATATGTAATATAAAGTGAGCTCTGTACATTTTATATTCAGTGTTGTAAATGAAATCAGTATATTTGAAAATGTAGAAAAAATCCAAAATATTTAGTATACGTCAGCTGTTATTCTATTTTTAAATGTGATTAAAATTGTGACTGATTTTTTTAATTAATTGCAAGTTAACTGCAATTAATAGACAGTCCTATTATTTTCATCAGTTAACATGATTGCACACATTCAGTGTCTAACAAATTAAGTATGACAGATTTCCTACTGTTTTTTTAATATACATCAGTAGTTCTTTTAGAGACTCTTGGGCAGCTAGAGTGCAGTAAAAATTATAGTTATTTTTCCATCAGAAGTATTAGCTGTTTATAGATATGTATACAGTCTCCTCTAGTTACAACAGTGTTAATATTGGGCTGTTAATTAGGCACTGCCATGGGAAAGGAGAATGCAGAGGTGCATCTCCAGGGAACCTCTTTGAACTTTCTAGTGTGTAAGGATAGTGTACAGGCTGCTCCATCCTAAGGAATAACAGTGCCGAACACTGTAGAATCTGGTTCTGTGGCCTGTCCTCCTCCCTGCCTGGGCCATAGAGAGCAAGCAGTGCCTGCCTTGCCACTAGACACAGAGACCGAGGTTGCCTTTGCATCTTCCCACACAAACTGCAGGCTCAACCATGCAATTAGAACCTTACCGTCTAATGTAATAATTGAATAATTTTCTTGAAAGAGACTCAGGGGCTGCACTCCCTGCTTGCAATGCTCACCAACCCCTCTCTGTCTTGGTGCTAGGCAGCCCCAGCTCTACCCCTGGCCACGGGGGAGGGCCAGGCCTAAGCTGCGGCAGCCCCAGCTTTCCCCTTCCCCCAGCTTCTGGGGAGGGCCAGGTTCAGGCAGGCCCAGCTCTCTCCCTAGCCGCTGGGGAGGGCTGGGCCAAGGAAGCCCCAGCTCTCCCCCGCGACCATCATGGAGGGCTGGGTTGAGGACACAGCAGCCCCAGCTCTCCCCCCACCCGCCAGGGAGGGCCGGGCCGAGACTGACATCCCCATCTCTCCCCCTGGCTGCAGGCAGCTTCCCGGCTGTGTGAGCCCTAACTGCAGGAAGAGGGTAGCCTCTGCAAGCCAGGCTGTCTGTTGGGTTGGGGGGCAGGCGTAGTGTGGGGCAGTGCTAGCCACTAGGGTTGCCAGATGGTCTCCCAAAAAATACCGGACACCCAGTATTTTTTGGTCAAGCAAAAAAAAAGGAACGCGGGATAAGTGGAAATCGTAACCCCACCTCCCAGCTGGGACTCCCAGGCTGGGAGGCAGAGCCACTATCGGCGCTGGGAGCCTGTGATTGCGCAGAAGCCTGACTCCCAGCCACTCCCCCCACCAGGCTTCTGTGCAATCACAGGCTCCTAGCACCGATCATGGCCCCGCTTTCCAGCTGCTGCCCCCGCCCACGCCAGGCTTCTGTCCAGTTTGCATCCGTAAAAATCAAAGAATACCGGACATTGCACATGTCTGGTATTCTCTGATTTTTTTTTTACTGGACAAAGAGCACAAATTCTAGACTGTTCGGTAGAATACTGGACACCTGGCAACCCTACAGCCACAGGATTGGAATAGGGGTGGGTTGCTTTCCTCTGGGGAAGGAGAAAGGGAAACAGCAGTGCGCAGAGTTGGCAAGCCAGATCCAACGGGGAGGCACAGGGCTTCCCACCCTCTCACCCTACAGGGAGCCAGCGCTGGCGCTTCAATCTTGCAAGGGGCAGAGCTAGTGAGTGAGGGGTCTAGGTGGAGGGGCAGGAGTGAGGAAGCCAGTAGCAGGGCGAGTGGGGAGCTTACTCCTGCCGCTGTGGACCATGCTGCCCGCAGGCTCCTTCTTTTTCTGCTCTGCCTACCCCTGCTCCGAGTCTATTGACACTGACGTGATTAAGACACTTTGTTGTCCTGCAGGAAAATTCATTTTATAGAGAGAGAGAGAGATTAGTGAGAAAGGAAGAACTCAAACATAACTAACTGTATGTTAGCCCATTGCTATTATCCTATCTTTTCAAAATATAGAAAATGATAAATTCTTAAAGCATGCAGTTCACAACTAATCTAAATTATTTTTATTTATTTTAATTTAAGGCTCAGGAGACATGGACAGTATTTCCAAAGTGAGTATGTAATACAATATTTCAATTTTAACAATATATTTTAGTATTTTAAAATATCACTTAACTTTGGTTGTTAAATATTTTTGACATTTCTAATTGCAAATTAAATGTGTATTATGGGCCTTTCACCTCTTTTGGGCACAATCAGTATTAATTGGAGATTATATGTAATCTTTATAATCAACAGGGACTATTAAATAGATCCATTTATATATTTTCCTGAACATAATGGTCATTATGATATGTGATTAATGTATATCTAAGTCATAAACTAATTAATTATAATACACTGTTGCATATTAGTAAAACAAATGCCTACTGTTTTTTATAATCAAACCTATTTAAATGTAGGAAGAGATACATTTGGAGAAATGTCATAATTATATTATTTTTATGCATTATATCATAGCTTTTCTCATCTTTATAAGACACTGATAATAGTCTTAATCACCTCTCTGATTCCCTAAAAATTAAATTAAAATATGACAGAAGAAACTGTATTTTGAGCATAGAAATTGGTCATCAGATTTTTACTTTAAGGGTTGATTTAAATGAGGAATTGATGAGTGAAGGTATTAGAATTAGGCCCAGGTAAAATATTCTGTGCTGCTTCTTTAATGTGCTCAGATGTAACTGGTTAAAAACTAATTAATAAACTTCACTGAAATGATCATTCTGCACTTTTTTGCTTTTGAGCTATAAAGATAAAAATTAAATAAAACAACTGTTTTATTCCAAATTTAATTGTTTTTTATTCATTTGAAATGCAGGAGTGAAAGTCTCAGCCATTTTTTTTTATTATTATTTTAGAGAAAGAATTTCCATGTTTTAGATTTAGATTTTGAGCTTGCTAAATATAGCTTTGAGATATGGTTTCAAGATAGGGTGCCATTATTCTGTCATGAAAATTCTAGTTTTTCTTTTTGTACCAAGAGCGAGAGATGATGATGCAGGAACCTGTGATAACCATCTAAGGCCCACAGCCATATCAACATTGTTTGCAATGAAGCCTTAAAGCATGCATAACTCATCTGGTTTCATTGCAAATTAAAATGCTGAGCTGTTTCATTGAAATGTTTATTCTTGTTCACAATCCTTTTGAGTAATATTGAGCCAATTTATGAGTTGAACTAAGTCTCATGGAATTTATAGTATGACACAGAATTGGTGGTATGGCTACACTGGGGGATGGGGTTCAGAAGAGGTATGCAAATAGCACTCACATTTGCATACCTTCTTTTTTTTTCCCCCAGAAGAGGCTTTTCTGCCATTTGGACCTGTCTACACGGGGCCAAATGTTGGAAAAAAAACCTCTTTTGAAAGCCCCCTTCTTCCTCATAAAACAAGGTTTATAAGGGCTTTTGGAAGAGGTTTTTTTTTCCGACATTTGACCCCATGTAGACAGGGCCAAATGGTGGAAAAGTCTTTCTGGGAAAGAAAATGGAAAGAGGTATGCAAATGCGAGCACTACTTGCATACCTCTCCCAAAAAAAACCATAGTGTATCCATACCCTGAATGACACATGGTGGTTTTAACTTACATGTCACTAAGATAAGCAAGTTTCTATGTTACAGATGTCATCACAGAAATTATTTGTGGAAATCAAGTGTGCTGTTGCACACATTTTTGCATTAGTTTTTAGTTTCTCAACACTAGTTGAGTTCTCCTTGACATAAGACCTGAATGGAATACAAAGGCATCTTATTAAGGCTGATCATATTGTGCATGAGATTTAGAAAATTAACCCAGGCTTGCTAGAATATATTTTACATCAAAGCAGTTCATTACTGCAGTGTATAGAAAAGGTTATAATTGACTTAGTGGCAAAGTATAAAGAGTTTCTGAGGTGAAGTGAGATAGAGGAAACAAGAGAACTGAAATTGTGCATATAAGATAAGCTCTAATAATCAAAACTTCTTGAATTACTAATGGAATTTTTGCAGTCATTAAAGAAAAACTTGCTTTGGAGGCTTTGCTCATGCAGCTTCACTAGGCTCCATACTGGCCGTCAAAGCAGCCCAGCAAGAGTTGTTATGAAAGCATTTATGTCAAGAATTTGAATCTTTGGGGTTGGCATACTGTATTGACTGCAAAATTTCAAAGTTCGACGCTACCCAGGGAAAAACAGAAAGATAAAATAAGGGTAGATCTCTAGGGACTGAACAAAAGTGCCAAAACGTCATAAAATAAATTTTACAATGATTTAGCTGCTTTTTAACTATTTATACCTAACACTACAGCAGCTTACCAAGTCACAGGTCATGACTCCACACTTAAGTTTGATTCAGAAATTAAGAATATTCATTTGAATACATAAAATGGAAAAAAAAAACACAGAAAGTAAACTCTGAACACTAATTTAATTTTTCCTGGTTGTTTTCCTATTGCTGTAGGTGATATGACAGTAGCAAGGAATGCAAGAGACTTTTCTCTTAAGTTGCTTTTCGGGTTCTGAATTGGTGGGGTGTGTCCTGATTTAACCTTGACTGGCACTGAATGACATTTCTGTGTGTTTATTTTAATAGAAAAATGTCTTCTGATTTTAAACAAGTTTAAAAAAATCTTTGTATTAAACATGTTAATGTAGCTGAGATTTAACATGCACAAAAGATGCCACAATCAGTATGTCTACACTGTATTCCTCTTTCAAGAGAGGAATGTAAATGCAGCTGAGTGAAATTGCAAATGAAGCACAGATTTGAATTTCCCGCGCTTCATTTGCATAATCGCATCTGGCCGCTTTTTTGAAATACCCTATTTCGAGATTAAAAAACGCCATGTAGATGCACTTATTTTGAAAGAAACCCCTTCTTTCGAAATAACCATTAAACCTCATTTTTTAAGGAGTAAGAGTTATTTTGAAAGAAGGGGTTTCTTTCAAATAACCACGTCTACACGGCATTTTTTATTTCAAAATAGCATCCGGACGCAATTATGCAAATGAAGCACGGGAAATTCAAATCCGCGCTTCATGCAGTTTTGCTAAGCTGCATTTGCATTCCTCTCTCGAAAGAGGAATGCACTGTAGACATATGCTTATTATTCTCATAGCAACAGTAACTTAGTCCCTTTGTGCAAATGTAGTATTTTGTGCTATGCTACATGGTATTCACTTACAGTATATGATAGAATGTGTGTTATGGAATAGATAACTGCATTAGGTTTGTGGTGATTATTCAGAGTTTGAGCCTGTTGGCATTTGTACATGTAAGATCTCAATAGTAATATTGCATTGACAGATAGTGTTGGATTTTTTTTTTTAATTTAAATTTCTGGTTAAAAATGAAAAAAGGAAGAACTGCAATTGCTATAATAAATGTTTTATGCATGAAACTCAAAACTTCTTTCCCCCTGCAAAGCATATGAAAATAAGAGCCTACTAGTTGGCAGTGGACAAAATTCATATGTCCTAGCCATTCTGATCCATGTAAGCAAGGATCCAGTGACCCCTCCCCTCGCCTGCCCACCAACACATTCTGAGCCACGTCAGAGTCCTTCTGCCCAGTAGATATGAAGGCTAACATCCTCACCCAAGAGAAGTGCTACAGGTCTTCTGTGATGTAGTGCCTGACAGTGACCCTTCGCCAACAAGTGGAATTTTACACCTCTGCATTTGTATAAATCAAAGAGTTAAGCCTACTGAGTACAGCGTGCATTTATTTGAAAGGTCTTACATGTCTTTTTAATCAGTGACATGAATGTGTTTTTCTCTGAATGTGTGGTTATCCACATATAGGCATACTCATAGCAGCTGCTATCTGGCAATCAATGCATAGTTAATTCAGAAAGGCTAGTAACATACTGCACTCAAGCACTATACTGTTATCTTTTATTACTACTTTATTTCTCAACCAGCTATTTTCACACATAAGAAATCAGCATTCCTTATTAATAATACACACTTTCTCCATTTAACTATTAAAACCTTTATTACCCAAGTAAAAAAACAACAACAGAATTATTGTCTTAAACCATGAAAAACACCCTTATCTCATTTACAAAATTTTTAAAAAATGAACACAATTTTTAAAGCTTTCTGAAGAATTCATTCAACTTTGGGCTAAAAGCAAAGCTGTGCACAATGCCTGTATAAAATATCTACTGGCAAGAAGGTTTACTAGCTCATAAAGTTGAGCTACTTTGAGATAATTATGCACAAAGGTAGCACAACAAAAAATATAACGAGCTATTATATTTATAAAGCCCAATCATGACCCCACTAAAGTAAATAGAAGCTAACCCATTAGTGGAGTACCCCTACCTATCATAACTAACCAGCGAAGTGTTAGAACTTGTAGATTCTCCAGAGCATCAGCTCTTTCAAGACCGCTCCCAGGCTTATTTCCGAATAGCTACATTGAGGAAGAACAAAAGGAAAAAGTGGGTCTGGCCCACAAAAGCTCATCCCCTATTAAACCATCTTGTTAGTCTTTAAAGTGCTACATAGTTTTTTCTTTTGTTTTTGCAAGATCAGACTAACACAGCTACCTCTCTATTACTATTCTACAGTGAGGAAAGGAAAGTAGATGATTTTCAGAATGAAGGCAGCAAAACTGTTCCCTTTGAGGTTTATGTCCATCAGATTCATACCTCCACACTAACATGAAAAGATTGTTTCATACCAAAATCATGCTGAATCATACTTAAGGATTCACTTTTTTCAACCATACATTTCCTTGCTCTAGTTGAAGGGAAGCAGAAGAAATTTCAGCCTAAAGACTAGCTTTTGAAAAAGTTATAAGCACTTGAAAGCAGGGGCTTAAGCTGTGTCTATAGTGAAGACCTTATTGCAGCACAGCTTTCCTTTTGGCATAAACTACCCCCAATAAGCAGTGATATTTATGTTGGTGGAAGAGCATCTTCTGCCAACATTACATGCCCATGCCAGCGCTTCTGACAGTGTATATTATGTTGCTCAAAGAGGTGTTCTTTCACATCTCTGAGCAGTATAAGTTATACCACCAAAATGCTAATATAGACATAGCCTCAGAGTGAAAGCATCTTCTTTTATCTAAGAAGAAACAAAGTGAGTGAAATAATATACTTTATTACACCAACAACTTATATTGGTGAGAGTGTGACAAATTTCTCTATCCCTTCCACACTTTAGAGACACACACCTTTACCCAGTTCCTAGGGCTCCAGGTGCAACCCTGTTAATTTACACACCCACCCTTATCCAATTCCTAGGGCTCAGGGTGTAACTCCCTGAGGGGGGTTGCAGAATCTTTTGCCACTGAAAGAGCCTTACACAGTAATATTCTTATTCTCTATTTATTGACAATTCCCAAGCAAGCAGAATACACATGCTAAGCACACAGTGTCATGGCACAGTAATCCTGATAATGGCAGGTGGACTCTCCTTGTTGGCCAAGCAAGATCAGTCTCTCTGGCGCTTAGCTGCTGCACATCACCATCGTGCAGAGGAGGCTGTGTCTTGGAGGTGAGTTCTTTCAGGCCTTCCCTCCTTCTTCTTGGTGTTCCTTTCTTTCTCTTTTCCTCTTCTTGCTGGACTCCTTCTTGGACCCCAGTTTCGATAGTGAACTTGAGTATTGCTTAGCTATACCGTAACCAGTTATTTTAGTATAATTTTACTAACCAATCATAACATACTGTAACAGAATTACCTAACCAATCATACCCCCACCATCTTAGTTGTTTTACACCCAGCAAAATTAATTATACAGCAGAGAGAAACAGTTACAAACCAGACAGAGATCACATAGACAAACAATAGAAAAGTGAGGACAATGATTATAGAATGAGGATTCCACAACCTCAACTATTGATGATCAGTTTCTTGCCAGATGAAATGCTGTTAGTTAAGTTTTCTCTACCTATCTTGATATCTGTTTCTTTATCTGGTGACAGTGGGTACCATTAGGAGAGGATCTTAAGAGTGCTTAAGTAGGTTGCTGAATCAGGGCAGTAGTGAATTATTTTTAATTGCAGAGCATAATCTTACTCCCAGTGAAGTCAAGGGAAATTTTCCACTAACTTCAGTGGGAGAAAGCTCCCAGCCTTACTTGAGAATAAGAACTACAGGTAAGTAATTTTCTTCATTTTATAGGATGGGAAAGCAGCTCTTTCCAGATTACAAACATTCATTCAATATATGTAGTGCAGAGCTGTGATGGCAAGATTTATTCTGTGTCATCTTCTGAGATCCCAGTTGGTAGCGTAGGTGTTGTTTTGACAAACATTATGAAGCAAGGAAAGGAATTCAAATCTACAATAGCACTTACCCTTTATTTTTAAATCTTATTTAACAGAACTCTCCCAGTAATATGAGCATGAGTAATCAGCCTGGCACTCCCAGAGATGATGGTGAAATGGGTGGAAATTTTCTAAACCCTTTTCAGAGCGAGAGTGTAAGTATTTCTTTGAGTATTTTGTTAGATGACAGGTACACAGTCCGAGATTCTTTTCAGGAAAAGCAATTGTATTTTTAATACAATTTTTGTCTATATTTTTACAAGTTCGTAATATTGCAATATTGATCTGCTGAACATAAAGTGTGCTAAATAAAATCAGGGACTGAATTTAAACTTTAAAAGCCAGGAGATGTAGGGTTACTGCAGAAAGTCCACCCCTAATTTAAGAGGTTGGTATATTATGAAAGTAAGATGCACAGGTGTAAAATTTGTCCTACAAACATACTGTATGCATATTCAGTAATATATGATGAGATGTGCATCTGTCAGTTAAAATCTTAGCAGCTTAGATCCTTATGTTCAATTAATCTTTCCTAAGTAATTTCTCAGTTTATGACTGCCCAATCTTTGACCTCTTTAGTAGTATGTTTTGCAGAGTAAGAAAGTCTTTCAGAGCTGTATCTATGCTGGAAGCACATAATAACTAGACACTAAGAAATTTAAAAGACATTTTATTACATAAAAGATTACTTGGTCTAGAAAAACAAAGATGCCCTCTAGTGTTTATTCTGTGATAACTGAAACTTTTAAAAATGAGTGATTGATGCTAGGGAAAAATTATTTCAAATACTTTCCAAAGTAAGTGAAGACCAAAATTATTCATGCCCAGGCACCTCAGGTGAGATTTCTAAATCCTCATGTAAGCTCCTAAACAGCAGAGTCTTGATTTTTCATTAATGATGAGTGACTTCTACATTTTAATTCTTAGTGACATTCACTGCTCTTGGAAGTGAGCACAGCTCTTATTAATTATTAAAAGTTTAAGAGGGGTAGCCATGGCAGTCTGTAACTTTAAAAACGAGTAGTCCTATGGCCATTAGAGACTAACAAAAATATATATAGTATAATGAGCTTTTGTGGGTAACACCCACTTAATCAGATGAATTGGAGAGGAATAATAGAAACCTAGAATTTTATAACAGAAGAAGAAAAAAAGTCATCTGCAAATTTGATACTGTTTCCATGGCTTGAACAAAGACATTAACTGGATGTCGCATTATAAATCCAGCCTTCCCTGCCTTTAACACCTCATTTTTACATCAAAAGCTAAGTATAGGGCACTTCCAGCCCACTTACTTAGCCTCATTAACACTAGTCCTACAGTTGACAGGTACCTTCATCTGATGAAGTGGGTTTTGCCCATGAAAGCACGTGATACTATATATATTTTTGTTAGCCTCTAGTCTAAGGTACAACAGGGCTTCTTGTTCTTATTAATTATGTCAGTGGTAAATTTCACCCAGTATCTGTGCAGGTTAGAAATCCTTTTGCTAGTTTATAGCAGTGCTGATCGGCACTGCAAGTTTCATGAATATCATAGTTAATTTTTGTTTTGCTTCTTCAGTAGACATTAATATGAGTATGAAGAACAGGCAATGTTTTAAATTTTTTCTATTTGTTTCTCTATGAAGAGGGCATCTTTGAAGTGTTTGAAATGATAGAAAAAATGACTTTGTACTAAAGGTCTTCACAAAAAAAATAATGTACCAAAAATTGCAAAAGAGCAATAACCAAAATTCTTCCATCAAGTTTGATCCTGTGCAGTCAAGATAGTGCTTTACTCTCAATTCCATGTGCTTTACTTATATCTCTTTGCAGACAGCCCAGACAATCTGAGAGTTCAGACAGAGGCCAATTCACCAAACCAAACTCATTAAAAGAATGGCATGTGCTATCAGTTATACTCCACAGAAAATTAGTTTTCTCACACACTTGCTGTATGCTTAATGCTCCTGGCTGCTGTTTTCCTATTTGAATGAATCCATGACTTGACTTTCCTAAGGTTTTGTAACACCTCCAACCATATTTCTAAATACCAGGCCCTCTCGATCACAAGCCAGAGGTTAGTCTCCTAAGGCTCTGTCGTTCTTTCTCTGCCACTTCTTTCCCTGGCTTTTCAGAATGGATATTATTAGGACAAATCTTGGGGTCCTTGCTCAGGCAAATTCCCATTAAATTCACCAGGAGTTTGCCTGAAAAAAAAGGTAACATGTTTATAATAATAAAAATGAATAATTTATAAAGCACTTTATCTGTACACTAAGGCTGTCAACCTATTAAAAAATGAATTCTTCATGTGACAGACTCAATCACAGAGATACCACTTCAGCTGTTGCCTAGTGTGCTGATCATACCACTGAACCTGCCTACCTGCCCTCTGAAGCACCCCATTACCCTCTTCTACTAGGCCAGAAGCTCTGGCCTTCACCCATAAAAGGCACAGAGTTGGGGTAACAGTCCCCCAGCAGAGTACCACAGACACTGAACCAGCTCAGCTATGGGAGGACTGAGTTATAGAGACTTGCCAGCACCAAGAGCACAACCCTCAAAAGGGACCAAAACCCCAAATAAATCCATCTTACTCTGTATAAAATAGTATATAGAGAAAACTCATAAAAATATTCTTTCTCTTTATTGGTGAAAAAGAGATATGCATAACTGTGGCTCCCTTCTCCCCTAGGTAACAGTTATTAACACTGGGCTTGATAATATACAGAAGTGTTTTTATTAAGTATAAAAAGTAAGAATTAAGTGATTGCAAGTAAAAACAGACCGATCAAAGTAAGTTACTAATCCAAAATAAACAAGTCATGCCAATTAAGCCTAATACACTAAGTCCTAATACACTAAAGGGGAAAGTCAACTTTTAAAATATGCAACTCCAGCTACGTTAATTAGGGATGTAAAATTTTGATTATTTGGCTAATCAAATTGTCGATGCAATTTGCATTGACTATTCAATTAGTCAATAAGAATGCTTCCACCTTTGAAGTGTGGCAACATCTCCAAGGCTGTTGGCACACTTCAAAGGCGAAAGCGCAGCACGGAGCACAGGGCCAGCGGGGGACTGAAGAAGTCCCCTGCTGGCCCGATGCTACCCATGTGGAGCCGGGGGTCAGGGGGGGAGTCCCCAGCGGACCCCAGGCTCCACACGGTGCTGCTGCTTTGAAATGCCGCGTGCAGCCTGGGGCCAGCTGGGGACCCCGGGCTGCATGTGGCATTTCAAAGCAGCAGACCCCAGGTTCAAAGAATATAAAATGCATTACAAGTTACACTGTACTCCTGACATATGTAAGAAAAGAGAATGGTGAATTGAAATTCAAGCTCACTGCTGTTATGCTTCTGGAGGCCTTTTAGTGGCCTGTGAAAGAATTGTCGTTAATATGTGTATTCTTCTTTTTCAGTACTCCCCAAGCATGACAATGAGTGTGTGATTCATACCAAGTCTCCTCATGAAGACCGCAGTGAGTTGGCCCTCTTCAGAGAGCTACTACAGAAGAAAATTACTTGTCCCAGTGTACAGTTTAACAAAAGGATTTCAGACACAACCAGACCCACCAACCATCTTTTCCTACCATCTCCCCAGTTTTATGAAGAAATTGGGTCCAAACATGATTCAAACAACTTTAAAGAGTGGCACAACGGAACTGCCCAAGAGTGAACTGCAAATAATTATCTGTGTATGTATAAGTGCAGGTAGATGTATATGTGTGGTGATATGTTATATTGACATACATACACACACATATACATATACAGACCTGCAGGACATTGTAAAATATATTACATGACATCTTAAGTAGAAATAAGAAATAGAGACTTTTATTCCATCTTTTTTTCACGTTTACATTTTGACTATTAAAATTTGCGTTCCCTTACCCCCTGAACTGTTTTGTGCTGCATATATCACTGCTATATAAGTTATTTTTTAAGGTGAACTGAAATGATCAATTGTTCTGATTTTATAAATGTCTGACATCATGGATAGGAATAAAATTGCTCTAAGAGGGCTTTCATTAACTTGTATTTAAACCATTTACCCGAGGAATCACAAACTGTATTCTCTAAAGAAATAGAAGAAAGCTCATCTTAATTTTGTGGTGAAATTTAATAATTTGTCACATAGCTTTGCTTATGTGGGGTTTTTTTGTGGGTTTTTTGTTTGGTTTTTGTGCTTAGTACCTTATAAAATAGGAGCATTGAAGGTTACTTTCCTTCCTTAAATGAGGCCTAATATCTGCAAAATCTGTTTGAAATGGAAGCCTGAGGCCATGACTATACAAATGGAGAACACCTAGTGCAGGGGTTGATCTTCCAGCATTCAGTTTAGTGGTTCTAGTAAGAACCCGCTAAACCGAACTCTCAGGGTGCTCCCATCAACTCCTGAACTCCTTGCAGTTGCAAGGAATAAGGGAAGTTGAAGGGGGCCGCTGGAGAAATTTGGTTTAAGATATGTTGACTCCAGCTACATTATTTACATAGCTGAAGTTTGCATATTTTAAGTCGACCTTGCGGTACAGTATAGACCTGCCCTAAAGTTTGAAAAAAGACTTTGGATTTAGTCAGAGTATTTGAAAATTGCTTTAACAGAGCTTCAATTGCTAAAGAACCCAGCAATAAAGTGGAAGAGCTTCTTCAGTCCTTGGAAATAAGTTTTTCCATTAGCCTCATCCTCCATGGGTGTGGTAGCAAGTACAAATTCAATAAAATTCCTATTACTGAAACCTCTTTTTCTAACAAACTGCCAGATTGTCTCCTTTTCTGTTGATTCTTGGCTGCTTCCCAATTCTCTGTAGTCCTGATTGTCAGAATATATTTAGTATTTTCCAAGCCATTCAGATAATCAGGATTCCACTGTACTTGATTTTATATTTTTCACCAGGAATACTAGAGCTGAACTTCTCAGAAACTTTCTAGTACATAATCACATTAGTGAACTATCATGACTGAGCACTTTGTGGATACTTCCCATGCATGGAATGTTGGAAGATTGATGCTCTTCTGCCAGAAATAGTGCAGGAACAGAGGTCTGAGCTTTTTATAAGGAAATCAGGATACTGTATTTTCAAACTTTGGAGATTTCCTGCACCGTCAAAGAAAGGCCTTTAGGGGAGAGTCTCCTATCCCTTATGTAAAGCTCTAAATCTAAGATTATATTGCATTTCATTCCTAATTAATTCCACCTTCCCCCAGAAAATCAAAGGTTCACCTATATGCTTTGAAAAAGGGTGATTTCCGTACCTCAGGCACGAAGTGTCTGAATTAAATTCATTCTGCAGATACTGAGTAACGTTCGCCTCTCCAAATTCACACCTCAGTGAGAGATCCCCATACATGATGTCTAAATATGATGTTCACCTGCAGATCTGTGAGGAGAAATTTTCCCTTATATTGTGAGAAAGTGTTTCATGTTATGGGAGCAGTGTGCAGGTTGATGCATATTACTGCATGTGTCAGGAGTAGATCAAATTCTCTGTGAGCATATAAATGAATAGCATTAGAATGTCTTTTACCCCATTGTTGGAACCCCATAAAGATTCAACTCTTCTTAGGTAGCAAGCTGTTACTTGAAATATTAACATTTTTAAATGTTATGAGAAATTTATCTTTAGTTAATAATGATGATGATAATAATAATATGTTGTAACCTTAAATTGGATAGAAGTGTTGACATGGTTCTATCTCCCAGTTATTACTGAGTTTGAGTTCATTTATTCATCTTTTGAAAACCAATAGTTTTTTGCTATCTCTCAAAAAGATCCTGCATCACTAAAGTCAGTAAAAATTTTGTTATTGACTTAAAAGAGAGCACGATCAGCCACTACAGTATTTAGGTTGGAATTATAGACCCTGATCCTAAAAAGAATTAAACAACATGTACATATCTTTTACAACTTAGTAGTCACATAGATTCCAATGAGACCACTCATATATGTAAAGTTGCATATGTAATGAAGTCTTTAAAAGATCAGAACTATACATAATTAGAGATGGAAAAGGCCCATTTGATCATCTGATACATCCCTTAAGTCAGGGGTAGGGAACCTAAGGCCCAGGAGCCTGATGCGGTCCCCAGCTTGCCTGGTTCCAGCCCCCAGGGCTCAAGGCTCCTCCCCCATCCCAGCATTGGGGAGCCCATGCTAACACTCCAGTCCCCTCTGCCCCCCGCCTGACTGATTTTTCTGTGGGTCAGTGGCCCCGACCCAAAAAATGTTCCCCACCCCTGCCTTAAGTTGTTATAACAAACTTCACCACACATAAGTAAAGATCTCTGCTACTCTTACCTTCCTTTGTTAGAGAATGATCCTGCAAATGTTTAAATAGCTAAGTAAAATTCATGTACATGTTGGCAAGACGAGGTGCTTATATCATATATATACACACGTTCTACAGCTAAACCACGCAAAATAATAGTTATATTTGCTAAATATGCAACATATTCAAAGGATACCTTTAGCTTTCAAATTTATATAGGGTTGGTTTGGTTTGTTAATTTTCTTTTGCTTACAAAACTCTTTTATAAGTTACAATATAGAGACCAAAATTGATATGAAAGGAAATGTTATTTCCAAACACTGATTTTTCCTCCCACCAGTGTTTCTTATGCACTAGATGTTGATGTGTACTGTAACTGTTGTTTGTTTTTTATGCACCAGAATTATGGATAATGACAGATAGAAATTGTCCAGCTCTGGAACTAATGCTAATTTAAGGGCAGTAGGTCAGCTTTTGTACTTAGTTTCAAGGCAGTGGTCTTTTTATGTTTTTTTAATATGGAGAAGAGTCAGGCCTGATTTGCCAAATATGTTTTTTCTTTGTTTTTAAGTAAGATGTTTTAAAAGAGAGGAGATGAAGCTTAGAACATTGAAAGCATGGAAAGTTGTTTTCCTTCTCTCTGTAGAGATGATGGTTGAAATCCTGGTCCTATTGAAGTGAGGTGGAGTTTTGCCTCTAATTTCAATGAAAGCAGGCTATCACTGTCTCTCTAAACATGTGCAAAGGAATTTTCATCTCCATATTTTATTTCCACACAGAGGTTTTGTGGAGACAGTAACTCCCCTTCAATATTCATTAAAAAAGGAGTGAGTGGAAGAGGTTATATGAATCACAAGAACAATATGTTGCCTGAAAATTACATTAAAAGTACCTTAATATTTTTATATATGTATAGGGCACTTATTTTAATAGTGAATTTGATTGTAAAGAACTGAAGCTGAGCTCTGCATTGCTTCTCAATTTATTTTAAAATGAATTTAGAGTTCATGAAAGGTGTTGGATTTGAACACGCTTGAGACTAGTCTTTTGTGCATGCTGTACTGCCCCAATAATATGCCTCAACCTTGATCTGGAGGGCCTACATTTAAAAGAGAGAGATTAGTTCTGTCTCCAGTTCATCTCTGTTTAGTGCCACAGTTGCCAATTTTTATTTGGAAGCCTGCTCATTAGAGTTTGGACCACCAACTTACTAGACAATCAACTAAAGTAATAACTTTCAGTCATCAATCTGCTCCACTTTTCAAGTATTTACTTCTAGGTGAAAAGCAACATTTCCCATAAGCCTGAAACATCCAGTCTCCCCTGTGAGCTTTGTACTTTCAAGGGGAATATTTTAGTTTAATTATTTTGAGTAGATCAAACTGGCAGAGGTTATTAAAATCTTTATTCTAGAATCATAGAAATATACGGCTGCAAGGGGCCTCAAAAGGTCATCTATTCCAGCTCTCTGCACTGAGGCAACACCAACTATACCTAGACCACCTGTGACAGGTGTTTGTTAAACCTATTGGCTGTGTCTAGACTGCATCCCTTTTCCGTAAAAGGGATGCAAATTAGACACATCGCAATTGCAAATGAAGCGGGGATTTAAATCCCCCCCGCTTCATTTGCATAAACATGGCTGCCGCTTTTTTCCGGCTAGGAGCTTTGCCGGAAAAAAGCGCCAGTCTAGACGCGGATCTTTCGGAAAATAAAGCCTTTTCCGAAAGATCCCTTATTCCTTATTTTAAGAGGAATAAGGGATCTTTCGGAAAAGGCTTTATTTTCCGAAAGATCCGCGTCTAGACTGGCGCTTTTTTCCGGCAAAGCTCCTAGCCGGAAAAAAGCGGCAGCCATGTTTATGCAAATGAAGCGGGGGGGATTTAAATCCCCGCTTCATTTGCAATTGCGATGTGTCTAATTTGCATCCCTTTTACAGAAAAGGGATGCAGTCTAGACACAGCCATTCTGAAAAACCTCCAATGACAGGGATTGCACAACAACCCGTGGTAAACTATTGCAGAAGTTAACTATCCTTGTAATTTGAAAGATGTTCCTAATATATAACCTAAATCTCCCTGTCTACTGATTGATCCAATGACTTCTTGCCCTATCTTTAGTGGACACAGAGAACAATTGATCACCATCCTTTTTATAACAGCCTTTAACATATTTGAAGACTGTTATCATGTCCCCTTGAGTCTTCTTTTCTGAAGATAAAGAATTACCAGGTTTTTTAACCTTTCCTCATAGGTCAGGTTTCTTTAACCTTTTATTACCCGTGTTGCTTTCCTCTGGACTCTCTTCAGTTTATCCTCATATTTCTTGAAGCATAGTGCCCAAAACCAGAGCCCATACTCCATCTGAGTGTTAGAAGGATAACCGACTCCCACAGTGGCTAAAACACATTCACATTTCCTTTTCCCATGATTAGCAGATGAAATACTGTATGTGGAGAGGATTTGGAATTAGATGATTAATGAGGGCCCAGCTGTTACAGTATTCATAGTCATATATTTTATTCTTTTTCCCTTGATATATTGATTTTTCTGATGATAAATATTGCACTGATGTCCATTTCCTGAATCATTTAATTATTTTAAAATATTCTAGCCATATTCTGTCCTAGCCATCTCTCATTGTTGTTGTCGTCAAATATGGGCCAAAATCTAAAGAGCTGGTGCTAGACATTTAAATTTGGAGGGCAGGACAAATGTAGAGATTAATGGTGAAAAAAAAATTGCAAGTGGTGATATAAAACCTGCTAGCACCTGTTTCAATCCAATTAAGGTTTGTTTGGGTGGCTCTGAGAGTTGGAATCATGTTGAAGCACATAGCTTCCAAATAAAAACTGTTAAACTCCCTTATGAGTGACAACTCATTTCTCTCAAAACAGCTGATTTTTGTGGCAATTTAATATTTAATCACAGTAAAGAGCTATCTCAAAATTCATGATGCAAAAAAAAACCCAGATATAAAAATTCAGTTCAACCCTCAAATGTAAATTAGCTATGTTTAAATATGCTGTGTGGGTAGCTTTGTCTCTCCAAACATTATTGACCGGGTGCTGTAAGTCCTTACTCATGCAAGTTGTCCCATTGAACTCTTGATGCAACTGCTTATGTGAGAAACAGGTTTGCAGTATTTCACCCTGAATTGCAAGAAAGATATGGTTTTATTAAGCTTATGATCTTACTTAGCCATACCCATATGTACAACAAAATGTAAAGGGCAGATTAAACTCAAACAAATTAGTGTTGGTTATGAAAGGAAAGAGTCCAATGAGCTATTTTTCCAATAGATACAAATTCATTGTTTTGACTCCCCGTATTAATTCAATTTATAATATTATCATACTTATAGCTTGTTACAGTAATATAGTTAGAATTCATAATTGTACCTTATACTCAAAAACACAGTAAAATTCTGATCCTGCAAATACATGAAGTCAATGGGACACTCACAGGCTTAAAGATAAGCATGTGTAAGGGTTTGTAGGACTGGAGCCTAATTTCTTCATTCTTGAGTCTTCCCTTAATTAGTCACTTTATTTTTAATTTTTTTAGCAATGCAAGAATGTTTTTATGTATTTATGCATCAATATAATTGATATCTGAAATGGGATTTGGCTTTCTTCTGTTTCTTAATCAGACCTCTCTCCACAGCTACCTAAAATATTTCTATGAACATGTTCTTTCATCGTGTTTTAAATGGTTCATTCATATTTTTCATTAAAGCAGTTAACAGCTATGCAGTTTTTATCCAAACCTAGGTTTGGTTACTGCTCATTTGAGTTTAAAATATATAAGGAAGCCTTTCATGTAATGGGAAAACTTGCCATAAAAATGTATAAAGGGGTGTGCCCTTTTCTTGGATACATGATTTCATATTTAATAAAAAAACAGTTTCCATTTATAAATTGAAACCTTCAGTTTT